GGTGAAAAGAGTATATTCAAATTAGTAAATATGCGAGAAAAAGTGTAGGGATTTAGACCATATTAAATGCGTTAAGAGTGATGATAAAATGGCCTTGGTGAAGGATGAAGAGGTCAACGAAAGGTGGACAATTTATTTTACAAAATGATTGACTGCCGAACACACTAGGAACATAGGTTAGAAAAAACCGTTGGCATAAATAGGGGCGGAGGTCATAGATACATTCGTAGGAAGAGGATGAAGATAAGAAAGGCTCTAGGGCCAAATGGTATCCCGATAGAGGCTTGGAAGTACATAAGGAAAATTGGCATTGACTAGCTGACCAAGCTTTAAAACAAGGTGTTGAGAACAAAAAAAATGTTAGACGAATGGAGGAAAAGTATTGTGGTACCTATTTACAAGAACAAATGATATATACAAAATTTTGTAAACTATCGAGGGATCAAAGTTATGAGCCACACTATGAAGCTCTGGAAGAGAGTGATCAAGCAACGACTAAGGCATGAAATGAGTGTGTCAGAAAACCAATTCGGTTTTATGCCGGGGAGGTAAATAACTGAGGCTATTTTCCTATTTAGGCAACCTATTGAGAAATTCAGTGCGAAGAAAAAATACCTCTATAGGGTCTTTATTGATCTAGAGGAAGCTTATAATAGCCTAGAGATTTGATTTGGTGGGTATTGGAAAAGAAAGAAGTTTCCAAACACTACATCGACTTGTGAGAGATTTATATGAGGGAGTGTTAACTAGTGTACAAACAATTAGTGGAGAGACGAGTGAGTTTTCAGTGACAATATGTCTGCATCAGGGTCAGCATTGAACCGATACCTCTTTGTCTTAATAATGGATGACTTAACTAGGCACCTACAAGATGAGGTACCATGGTTCATGTTGTTCGCGGATATCATAGTTTTGATTTTTGAGACTCAAAATGTTGTCAATACGAAGAACTTTGGAGGAATGCTCTAGAATCTAAATGTTTTAAAATTAGCCGAACAAAGACAGAGTATATGGAATCCTAGTTTAGTAATGATAGGAGTAGAGACGAGGAAGTAGTTAAGGTTTGGCCAAGAAATACCAAAAAGAACACACTTTTGAAATTTTGGCTCAATAATCCAGGAAAATAGAGAGATTGAGGAAGACGTCATACATAGAATTGAGCTGGGTCGGAAAAGTGGAGATGTGCAATTGGAGTTTTATGCAATCGCCGTATTCGAATGAAGCTGAAAGGCAAGTTCTAGAGGATAATTGTGAGACCGACTTAACTTTATGGGCCAAAATGTTGGGTGGTCAAAAAACAACATGCCCACATAATAAGTGTAGCTGAGAGGAGGATGTTGAGATGGATGAGTGGCAAGACAAGAAGAAATATAATTCAAAATGAATACATTCGGGAAAATTTAAGTGTGGCACCAATAGGCGATACGATGAGAGAAAGTAGAAGGTAGGCTGGCCATGTGTGGTGTTGATCCAATGCAATACCTGTTAGGATGTGCGAGTTAGTTCAAGTAGAAGGCTCAAAAAGGGAAAAAAGCATGCCCAAAAGGACGTAGTTGGAAGTAGTGAAAAACGATATGGGGAGTTATGGCCTCATTGAGGGTATGACCCTTAATAGAGCAGAATGACGGACTAGGATTTATGTAGCCAACCTCAATTAGTTGGAAAGGGCTTTGATGATGATGATATATTTAATAAACCAAAAAAAACTCCTCTTAGACCATCTTTTTTTCTTATAAAAAGCACAAAAGATGGGGGCAGAAATGTCATTTCTGCCCCCAAAGTTGGACCATCTGCTTCACTTCTAAACTTGTGGACTGACCAATCTACTTATTGGCCTGGCGGGTTCACCGGTTCAAATCCCTTGCCGGCTCATTGGCTGGACTGGATTGGGGCAGGTTCACCAGTCCAACTGGCCAGTCCGGTTTGGGTCTCACAATATTGGTACCACTCCACTTATCTTGAAAAGTTTTCTAGTCAATCGGATTAGTGTTTAGGATTTTAAGAATGTGAATGAATTTTTTTGTGCCATTACAAAATGTTATTAAGACAAGAAGAACTGAGGATGATTTTGTTTATATGAGTATTTGACCTTAGTTCAAGTGGACAAGTTCTAATATGCATTTGTGATTTTCAAATACCAAGGCAGCATTGTGTCTTTGTCCTTGAAAGATCCAAAGATCCTTGATGGGCAGTGATCTTTGAATCTTTAAAGGACAAAGATAAGGAAATCTTACCTACCAAAAAAGAAAAAGACAAGATTAGTTTAAAAACTCCGGTGCATTAGCATACCCTTAACATGCTAGAAGGCTTTGTGATAGAGATTTTAACCAAGAGTCATGAAGCATCATTTTAAGAGTTGGCAAGTCAACATGGGAGCTCTTGCCACTTCTTATATTTTATGTTTTTACCAATGTTCAAAAAGGCGGAGGCGGCCTCTTAGATGACCTAGGGTCTGGGCCGCCTAGGCGCCAAGGTGGTTGCCTAGGTGGGTGCTCGGACACAAAGGCAGCCCGAAGGGAGGGGGTTGGGGTAGGGGCCATATGCTGTTTTGTGTGTGTGTGTTTTGTGAGTGTGTGTATGTGTTTCGTGTGTGTGTGTGAGGTCTCGCATGAAATTCTTAAAGATCATCCTCTTTTGTTCTTTTTAATCTATATTTGTGAGAGAGAGGTCTCGAACCCTTGGAAGATATGTTGAGAGAGAGAGAGAGAGAGTCTGTGAGAAAGAGGGACCTCACATCGAACACTTGGAGGTCATCTTCTTCTTTTTCTTCTTCTTACATGTAAAGAGGGAACATATGGGTCCATGTGTATCTTTGTTTGTGTATGTGTGTGTGTGAGAGAGAGAGAAGTCGCACATCGAATACTTGGAGTTCATCGTCTTATTCATCTTCTTCTCATATGTAGAGAGAACACATGGACCCGAGAGAGAGAGATAGAGAGAGAGAAGGGCAATTCCACGCCTTATTTTTTGTTTTGGAGGATTTGAATTTTTTTTTTGGCCGCCTAGACTGCCTAGGCTCCCGCCTTAGGCATGCCTGCTCAGACCCCACCGCCTAGGCGCTTGTACGTCAGGCTGCCTAGGCGACAAGGTGGCCGAATTTTCGTTCACTGGTTTTTACTAACATTATAGAATCTGACACTCTTGTGAGGGAATATCCTCTAATATTATTGAATATTAGAAATTGTATATGGTAAGGAAAGCTCAAACAACAAGAAATGACCAAGAAAGAAACATCTACAAGAGAGGGGAAATGCCACTACTTGGTGGTTGGGATGAGGTTAGGACTGTAGAAGACTGAGATAGGAAATGTGTAACAATAGAAAGGCCACATAGCCTCTTGCTTCATGTATGAGGGAGAGAGAGGCAACATAGCCTCTTCATTCATATGTGAGAGAGGGAGGAAAGGAGGGAGGGAGGGGTTCAAATTGCATACACTTTTTGTGACATTTAAGGACTTGGTTTTACAACCACTTTTCATTAGTAATAGTAATATGAGGGGGCAGACCACTGTGAAAATCATGTTAGTTAGCCAAAAAGCAGAAGTCTTAATAATTATATATCTATTATAATGCTTTATGTTACGGAACGGTGCTCTTGTAACTAGTTATAAATACTTGTAGCTAGTTATTTATAACCCAAGGTACTAGTGTTGTACTGTATTTTATATACTTCACATGAGTAAGACATGGAATCCCTAAGTGTAGACATGGAATCCCTAAGTGTACCATATTTTCTCTCAACTTTTTGCAAGAATTAGATCTTATCTCTCTTCTTTTGCTTTGAATTATTCTAATGTCAATCTCTAATTGTAAGGGGCATGCTACTTGATTGCTAGAAAGTATCATTAACATTCAAGTGTTTATTAGAATACTGGAAAAAAGAAATTGCTGCATTTGAATCTTTATGCAAAAGATGTTTCTGAGTCGTCACCAGCAATCTGCATTAGATATTGTAACAATTGCAACACTTGATGTGTGTTTTGAGGTGTTCAATCTACGTCTAATGCAAATGAGTGCCTACCTACTTTGTGTTGGAAAAGCTGTGTATTGTGATTAGTCTACCAATTGCCTTTGAATAGCAATGGCCAATGGTGTTGTCCATTGGAGAGATTTAAAAAAGCCTTCTCAGCAATGATCTCTGAGATGCAATGCATTCTGTATTCGTGTCTGATCGAGGATCTGCGTATCAGGATATAGGGTGAACTTCTTTACCCAGTCATTTACATATGCCTTGAAGTCAGGACCATGAATAAGCAGTATGTGGTTCCAAGGCTTTGGTGGTCGGTGTCGGTCTTTAGTTAACAGACACTTGCGACTTGTCTTTTTCTTCATAGAAAGCGGTTAGGTTCTGATTGTGGTTATGTTGAAAGTATTGAAACTCTCACTCGACTAGTGATTTTCCTTGTTGCCATCCACCAGTAGATTTTCTCTGCAAATATATAAAAATCTAACAAGTTCCATATTTTCCTCTTCGTTATGTGTCTCTGATAAATCGCGTAACTTCCATCTAAACACCTCATATGTGAAGATTTTTGATAGAATGATGTGCATTTATCATAGCAATTAATGTTGTTATTATTTTTGAATTTCTAGGTTCCAATGAAAAATAATCAACATATTGTTAAGAATGAAGACCTGGATCTGCTTCTTGCATGCAGGTCTGCAGAAAGTTTAGATTGTATACCTCAAAACCTTGAATTGACCTATGAATTAGCCTTGAGAGCGTTATGGCTTCTTTGTGGGCAGCAATTTTGTAGCCCATCTGGGCTACTTGAGAATGATGAACAAGGGGTTCTCATTCGGTATTGCTGTAAAGGGGTATGAATTGGATTGAAATTGATTTGTTTTTCTTGTAGAGTTGAAGTTTTTGTCTGTGCAATCTATAAGAGGTAATTTAGATCCTTAGCTTGTTAATAATTGATGGACTTTGCACATTATCAAAAATAAAAAATAAAAGCAATAATTGATGGACTTTGCATTTGTTGTTTTTTGTTAATGTAGGCTGGAAGGGACCTTAGATTCCTAAGTTTATCAATGACTGGTTGCTTTTTTGGTTGTGGCATTCTACTGTGGGTATGCATTTAGTCTTTTAACATTTTGAAATTTGAATGCAAATTCTTTTGGTTTCATTGGAGCTAATAATAATCAAATGAGAGGTGGCTAATGGGACTTTAAGTGCATTTAGCATGTGAGGTGCTTTAGCTATTAACCTTGACAATATGAT